GTAATCCGAAAGATCCCCTTATCCAGATGGTGATACATGATAGGCTCATATGGGCAACCATGATATCTCGTATCCCACGGAATGCATACTCTCTAGCCAGACACAAAAATTGCAACTGTCTGTGCTGTCCACAAGCTGCTGAAAAATCTGAGCCAAGGGAATGCAGTTAAGCAGCCTCAGCTGATGAGAGGCCAGGTGGCAGCCTCCTTATCCCAGCGCACCCGCCACATGGCGGGCTTCTACTGGGTCCACAGATGCCCTCATCCGCTGAGGCTCCACCTCACATCGGAATAAGATTTCCCTGGCCCCACCCCCGCCCAGCCTCAGGCGCACGTTCCTCTCTCCTTTTGTAGCAGTGGGTGAGTTTTGGAGCACACACTTTCATCTCAGTCTGTACCACACACCACGCCTGCCTCATCTCTCGGAGCAGGAGGAGGAGGAGCTTGCAGGAACAATGGCGGCCCAGGGTCTTCTCTCTGGGAGGCAGCTGCTGGGGAGGCCTCTGCAGTCTTCCATCTCCAGGTCGTCTTCCTCCCGGAAGTCCCCCTTCGTCGTCAGGGCATCTTCCAGCCCCCCTGCCAAGGTCAGTTCGACTCTAGTCATGCTGCATGTTCTCTTTTGATCTGATGAGAGCTAGCTGGAGTAGTTCCTAACTTTCTTCTTCTTCTTCTCTTTCAGCAAAATGACAACAGGCAGCTGTGGTTTGCGTCCAAGCAGTCCCTCACCTACCTCGACGGCACGTAAGTCGCGGGGCAACATATTACACCTGGTGTATGTGTATTGGCAGTGTGGTAGAGAGAAGCTGATTTAGGAGGTGTTGGGTTTTGTGCTTTGCAGGCTGCCCGGTGACTTTGGCTTCGACCCCTTGGGGCTGTCCGACCCAGAGGGCACCGGCGGGTTCATCGAGCCCAGGTGGCTGGCCTACGGCGAGATCTTCAACGGCCGGACGGCGATGATGGGGGTGGTGGGCATGATCGCCCCGGAGGCCCTGGGCAAGGTGGGTCTGGTGCCCCCGGAGACGGCGATCCCGTGGTTCCAGGCAGGCGCGATCCCGCCGGCAGGCACCTACCAGTACTGGGCCGACCCCTACACGCTCTTCGTGTTCGAGATGGCGCTCATCGGCTTCGCGGAGCACCGGCGGCTCCAGGACTGGTACAACCCGGGCTCCATGGGCAAGCAGTACTTCCTGGGCCTCGAGAAGTACCTCGGTGGCTCCGGCGACCCCGCCTACCCCGGCGGGCCCATCTTCAACCCGCTCGGGTTCGGCACCAAGAGCGAGAAGGAGATGAAGGAGCTCAAGCTCAAGGAGATCAAGAACGGCCGCCTCGCCATGCTCGCCTTCCTCGGCATGTCCCTGCAGGCCATCTTCACCGGCGTCGGGCCCTTCCAGAACCTCCTCGACCACCTCTCCGACCCCGTCAACAACAACATCCTCACCAGCCTCAAGTTCCACTAGGCGAAATCGATCCGATCCGATCCGAGCATCGTCGTCCTGTGCATGGTACCCGTCGTCGTGGGAAACGTGAGCGTGCGAGAGGTATACATGCGAGGGTGGGTGTAAAATGTAAATTTGTACGCGTGCTGCGTGCATGCTTGTAATATTTATATCGTGCTATGAAAATTAGTGCATTGCATCTCTCATCATCTTCACCAACCAACTTCTGCGCCTTTCTTTCCCTGGCCCTCATCTGATCATATCGTACGTGCAATTGGGCGGCTAGATTATGATGACAGCGGCCTTATTGCATCTTCTTTATAATTCTCATGAAAAAATGGTTATTTTACAAAAAAAACTACGTACTGAGTAGTATATGTGATTTTTCTGACAAAATAAAGTTAATTGTTGCTGTAAGAAAATACACGTGCATTTTGGGAAAAGGCTTATCACAGTATGCAAATCTCTGTGGCTCTTCCCGCAGAAAAAACAAATAAACTCCGTGGCTCTATGCTTACAGTGATGAAGTTCTTAAATTGGGCCGGGCCAAGAAACGCGTTGGAATAGGGCCAGCTTTTCACCGGTCCACGGTTAGATCATCCGCGACTCAGCCGTCGCCGTCTTCTTTCGCCTCCCTTCGACGGCTGCCCTGCCCAGATGCTTCCCCTCCTCCGCGCGCGCCCCTGCGCTTCCCGCCTCCGCCGCTGCCTCCTATCCGCGCTTGCAGCGGGCGGGACACCTCCGCCGCTGCGCTCCGGCGTAGTGTACGCGTTCGGTGATAACAGCCACGGGGCCGTGGGCCAGCCTGCGCCGGCCGCGGACGTCTACGTCCCCACGCCCGTGCCCTCCCTCCCGCCGTCCGTCGATGCGGTCGCAGCCGGACACTACCACTCCCTCGCCGTATCCTCTGCCGGGGAGGTCTGGGCGTGGGGGCGCAACCAAGAGGGCCAGCTCGGCCGCGGGCTCCAGGCCCCGAGGTGATCTAACCCTCCTCCCCATCTCCTCTGCCCTTCGGGGCGAATCAGTATATGAATTGAACTAAATGAGTTGGTGTCACTTACCTAAATCAATTATACCCATTGCAATTTTACTGAAGTCTGCAGAGTATCATGATAGGGGTTATGTATGCCAGTATGAGTTCATGCCAAAGCGATGAATTATTTATTCCAGTATATGCAGCACCATTTCTTTCTGGCCCAGATAATGAGCAACAGTGATGTGCTTGTTCAGTGCTACCAGCATAACAAAGATGCTGAAGAATGGCTCACATAACGTGGTCACTTCTTTATTGAAATATAATAACGTGGCCACTTGCTGATGTATGCCGCACGCGCACACCTTGCACTGCTTTCAGCTTTCATATTGAGTATATTCTGATCAGAGCATTCAAACCTTAACATGGAAAGCATACATCAACCAAACTGATATGATGCACCCATATTTTTCTTGCCCATGCTAGCCTTAAATAAAATACTAGCCAATGGCATGAGTTAAAATTGTAGCTCAAAACCTCAACCTATTATTTGTGTTATTCATAGGTGTTATTTAACACTTACCAAGTGTATAGGTGCAATGCTTTACCATTCTGCTAAATGACAGGAATACTTGGAGCAATCCAGAACAGGTGAGAGGATTGGAGAATGTTCAAGTTCGAGCTGTATCCGCTTCAGGTGTTGTTTCCGCAGCAATTGGGTGCGATGGCTCGTTATGGGTATGGGGGAGATCAAAGCGTGGCCAACTTGGGCTTGGCAAAGACATTGTGGAGGCCACAATGCCTTCTAGAGTGGAGGCCCTTGCTGGTTACGATGTTGTTAAGGTGATAACTTTTGCCCTGAAATGAACTAATTGGATGCTGCTTACTAGTGAGGCAATGTTTTAATGAAGCGAAAATGGTAGGTATCATTTGGATGGGGGCATGCCATGGCACTGACAAAGGATGGAGGGCTGTTCGGTTGGGGGTTTTCAGAAAATGGAAGGTTAGGAGATATGGGTCAAAGTACCGAGGCACCTTCTCCACAAGAATACGTTGGGAAAACAAAGGATAACTATTCAAGTTCAATGTTGGAGGCTGTTGAAAAGATGGTTGTCGACAAAATTCGGAGCGAGGACAATATGCCCATCATCTGGGAACCTTCTCTTGTTCATGAAGTGACTCATCTTGACGTGTCTGATGTTTCCTGTGGGCTTGATCATTCCCTGATTCTCTGCTGTGAGTATTTCTTTTCACCTACAAAATTGAAGCTCTTATGCGCACTTGCTATGCATAATGTTTCTGCTGTACTTATTTCTCTCTCTCTCTCTGAAGGCAGTAGTGTTTAATAAGACGTAGGGCATTGTTGCATCTGCAATATTTGTTTTTTTTAGTATTCATAATGAGTTCGAACTTGGAAATAGCAGCTTTATATTTTTCAGAAATGAATAGTAAATATATATTGCCAATTTGCATCAGGTTTTTCAAGCACCAGCATTCTTTCTGACTATTCTTATTTGATTCGTTCATTGTATTAACATAGAAAACTAGGAGCTGGGCTGCTGTGAAAGCATAAAGTCTTGGGCATGTAGTATGACGGAGATTTTTTTAATGCATGAGCACCAAAACAGAGATATTATATTAGGAATGCACAGCTTTGGACAAATGAACAACAATCATCTAAAACTGTACCTTTTGGGGGGTGTCAGAGTTTTCAGTTCCGTTATATTTATATTCCTCTCATGTGATTTACGTATTAACCAGCTAATGGCACCGTACTGAGTGGTGGAGACAACACTTATGGACAACTTGGTAGGAAGTCAGGCTGGGCCAAATTGCTTCCCGTCGACATAAGCTACATCCCATTCTCTGTGTCAGCGAGTGCTGGCCACTCGCTTGCTCTGTGCCATATATCAACCAAAGGCACTGACAATGTTAAAACTGGTATTCTATCATGGGGATGGAACTGCAGCTCCCAGCTTGGACGACCTGGTCAAGAGGATGCCCCAGCACTAGTCAACTATCTGGTTGGTGAGAACCCAATAACAGCTGCAGCTGGCCGTGTTCATTCCATTGTTCTCATGTCGAAAGGAGAAGTTTGGGCTTGGGGATCTGGCCGAAATGGCAGACTAGGTTTGGGCAGTTCAATGGATGAGGCAGAGCCTTGTCTCATCGATACCTTGGAAGGAGTAGAGGTCTTACAAGTCGCCACAGGGATGGACCATAATCTCATATTGGTTAAAGAATAGGCTGGGCTGCTTCTTTAGGGAAGGATATTGATTGTTGCAGTAGTCACTGGAACAGTTTTGCTATCAACTGGATGCGATCTTCAAACATAGTTATGAACTTATGATGCTAACTAGTACTCACACGCTTTCAGAATTGTGTCTGTCACCTTTCACTTCCATGTAATGTTTCCATGTATTTATGCTCGTCCATCATGGTAAATATTTGTGTTAGCATCATCTCTGGTGGTGATACTGGAGTTTGACGGGTTTTTTGGTCTTGAAGGGAAAATGTTGAGATAGTTCATGTGCATTCCCAGGCTTCCTCCTGTGCAATTCTGTAGCTTGTCTGTTTACATGTACATACTTTTAAATCCTGTTGTGAATGTTCTATTGCTAACATCTCGGCTCTCCAATGGACTAGTAAAAGTAGTACCGTTGGTTTGTTAAAAAAAATCTTATCATGTAATTGTTCTACATTCAAAAGCTTTAAGTAAGCAAACTCTTTGATATCCAGAAAATTGTGTTTTGAATGGTGTAATAAGCACTTTCTTACCATAAGAAAACATTTTTACAAGGTGGTGTTGTATAGTGATAAATTTTGAACTTTGGTATCTTTTTTACATTGTTGTTGTTCGTGTAATTATTTTTGAACATATTGCCATAGCTAGTGATGTCCATCAAAATTTGAGAGCATAGCCATTAGCTCAATTCAAAGACCATGGAGATTTACTACTTGCCATGCATAGTACTCCCACCATTAATAAATACTTCCTCTGTCTCAAAATGCAGTGTCAAAAAACGTCTTACATTGAAACAAAGGGAGTATATTGCATAATTTTGACTGTCCAACTTCAAGTTTTGACAAACATAAGCAAATGATATGCATGTTACTTCACAAAAATCGATACAATAGCGTTTGTATTCAATAGTGTTTTCTTTTCTACTCCCTCCGTTCCTAAATATTTGTCTTTCTAGACATTTTGAATGACTACTACATACGGATGTATGTAGACATGTTTTAGAGTGTAGATTCACTCATTTTGCTCTGTATGTAGTCACTTGTTAAAATGCCTAGAAAGACAAGTATTTAGGAACGGAGGAAGTAGTTGCGATTTGTAACTGCTAGCACTGCATTCTTTTCTTGTTTGCGACGACTAGCAATGTATTTGAAAAACGAATTCATGATCAAACTTTAAACTTGACCAATAAAAATGTGCTTGTACTTTTGAACAAAGGAGTAAACAAAGTGCAATCTGTATGCTCTAGAAAAGAAGTAACCTAAGTTTCTCATAGGGAAATAGGGGTTCTTGGCAACGATAAGGCCCAACAAGCCGGGTAGCTAGATCCCTACTTCAAAGCAGTCTCATCAGCCGTCCCCAACTTTCTGTTGGCACCACTGCCTGTTGTTGGGGGTAACCGTAAGTATCACCACCAATGATTACAATACTTATCTCCTTTTCATTTTTATAATAGGAAGAGACTTTCCTGCAAAAAAAAAGACATTTAAGATCCAATATCACATGGTTGAAAACAGAAGTAAAACAAAGGTTGAAAAGAGATTATTCTTTTTAGCAAAGGTTGAGAAGATTTTTTTTTGAGCGCCTGAGGTTGAGAAGAAATAAAAAAGGAAAGAAAGAAAGACGCGTTTAGCGAGCAGCCGTTGGCTCGCTAACGCTTCCCAGCAGCCAGACTTTTTGGAAAGTATTTGTCTCCTCCATCTGATTAGGAAATATTTTTATGGTCTCAACTGGCTAAACGAAATCGACTCATCAACAGTTCATTAAATGATCCACATGCATTCGGTTGTGGCTTTTTTACTGCAT